TAAAGTTTTATTTCAATTTTTTTTGTATATAATAGTCATTTTTTTAAACTTAAGTCTAATCAGCGATGCCTGCGCCATACAATAGACCTTCTGCAACCTCGTAGAATTCATTTTCTTCTCGATTTTGTGCACATCGGTCCATTCTTGCCTGTTTGCTGGAAATTGACGCTCGTGACTCTGCTGCCGCTGTCCGCTGGAAATCTGTATTTATGGCGAAATTCTTCGCTTGAAAACCAATTTCAATACCCAGAATTTCCATAACTTTCATCACGGGAGTATATCCTCCGTCGAAGATACCAGCAGCTAAATATGTTGCCACTTCCACAGTCTTAGAGCTACAATGTAAATGTTTCGGAGCAAATCGCCAGACACACGCGTTGAAGCTCTCGTTACTATTTTGCGTGTTACCTCCAGTACATCATTCAAATAAATCCGGTTGCGATAACGCTTCGTAAACGGGTTTTATTGCTTTTTGTACCTCAGGAGCAAGTGGAGGATCATATTCAAAAGAACTCAGTGTACCTCGTCCTTCTGCGACGCGCCACTTGCACTAGCTCTTTTCTCCTTCGGGACAATGTACGTGTTCATATTTGTCGTTAGTGGAACATTTATGTAAAAACGTGGCCCCGATTGCTTTTCTCATGTCCTCAGCAGAATCATGCTCATCACTCTTAATTGCCAAGCCGTAAGAACTGCTCACAGTTGTTTGTTGTGTTATACATACACTCAACTGAACTATAACACAGGCCATAATTCTGAAAACTGACACTGACGCTAATTTTTTTTCCGACTAACATGTTTCTAATATATCCGGTACTGCCATCTTAATGTTAGAATTCATATTTATACTTCACAATACCAATAAAACTAGTTATGTGACCCTTGAAGCGGTTCTATACCAGCGCGTCAAATACAGCTAAATCTGGCCGGTGAAGCGTTACGCTCATGTCGCCATTTCCTATTGAAATAATTCGACTTACGAAAAATCCTTTTAGAGGTGTATTGTAGACACTATAAGGATTCAAAATATATATAAAAAAATCGATTTTTTTTAACCAAAAGATCCGAAACCTCCCCTTAAATAAAAATGTTTTATTACTGCACGAAATCCTTTTTTTTTTCATTTTTGTGGCAACTGCTACAATGCTCGCTTCATACGTTTATAAAACGTGAACCACGCGTCATTTCTGGTTGAAATTTGGCCTAAGCTAGTTGAAAGAGTGATACTTGCCAGCCGTGACGTCACCAAATGAATTGTGGCACCATCTCTGGGAAATTTTAACACACTTATCAAACGACCCTTGTATGTCAACTGTTGGCATACTTTGTTAAATTTTCGAGAATATTCGATACTTTTGTCACTCTTTACATTTTTTAAATCCATAGATCTCAAAGTTCAATAAAGCCTAAACAACTAACATTCTCGAAATCCTGGCATTCGCCAGATCTACGGTAAAACAGTACCCACAAATATGTATATGCAGAATCCTTTACATTTCTGAGAAACTTTAAGCTTTAGAACACCTGGCACCTTCTACATCCGTGGAATCTTCGAATCTACAGAAAACCTCCTGTTAACAAACCTTCAAATCTATGAAATTGCACAATCAACTCCCCAGAATTAACGATATTTATAAAACATTTGGGTCCCTACGGATTTGCGAGAATCTCTATGAAATACATGGAATCCCTTAAATTCCCCTAGAAGCTTCGGAATCTTTATAACCACTAAGCTCTAAGAACTTTCACATCCATGAGATCTTCGAGTCTATGGAAAACCACCTTCGCAAAACCCTTAAAATCCTCAAAATCTATGGAGGCCTCAGAGATTTCTTACAAACTTTCGAGTAACCAAATCTCTTAAAACGTTTTGAAACTCGGTAATTGCACATTTTGAAAATAGATTTTCTTAACAATTTCCGCCCGTTTAAAAGTTTCTATTACATATCTTAAATTTCAACTATTAAACGGTTTTAATTATTTTACTATAAGTGCACACAAAAGCAAACGATATTTCAAAATCAAATTAAAACACTTTATCTTCTTTGTTTAAAAAAAGGGCGTATACAACGTAAGATATTTAAAAATAGATTAACACTAGAAAGTAGTATTTAACTGAAATTATACTTTCAGATTTTAATTTTCTTAGATTATAAAGCCATTACACTTAATTTATTTACTTAAACTAATACTTTTTCCTGGTATGTAGTACACAGAACACTGCGACTTCCAGACCAGACCTCAAAACTTTCACTGAATTAGTACCCTCTACTTAACAGAATAAAATCTGTATAGCACAACATTTATCACCTGCTGACTAATCATTTTGATTTCTCTAACTTTCTCAAACCTTGTATACCTTAACTAAATTTATTTCATTAAACATTCTACTATTAGCCCCAAAGGTGTTTTGTATTGTAGTGGGTGATATGGCAGTCGAAGTGTTACATTCTTTAATTTATAGTAGAAACACTGTACAACGATAACACTAACATACAGAACTAATTATTGATATCACCGGTTGGGAAGATATTGCTGTACGATGGGAGTAGAGGAAGGGGGCATCAAAATGAGGCACCTGTGTTCGCGATAACGGACGGTGTAGTTTTCCGTATACCAGAGATCGTACAGATTTTCAACAATTTCACTCATGACTCGCTGTTTATATATAGAATATTAAATGAAACGATATAAACATCTTTGAAACAGAGTGAATTAACTACATACGTGTCAATTAATTAAAATGGAATGGTTGTACATAAATGACTGGTTAATTCAGAAAGATTGGTCGTCTTCGATCTACATAAGCGTAACATCAACTGGTATACGTGGTTCTGCGTGTCACCTCGATGGCCTTACATAATCCCTGAGTCACATGCTCGATTGAAAATTTTCGTCAAGCTTACGACTTATCGTGTCGCTGGGTTATTTTGCGCTCGCTTCTACCTGAACGGTTGCGCGTGTACGTATAAAACCTGTAACGAATACGTAATACGTCCGTATGATGCAAGTCACGCGTCACTGGTTCACCCTATTTAACAAGCGTTTTCGATGCAAGTTGTGGATCCATGTAAATATTTTCGGATGCTGTTAGACCGGATAACATTAAAAAACCAACAGCCTGAAACGCTCGTTTCCCGCCGAAGAAGAATCGAGATACAGTTGCTCACGAAAGTATTCGTACGTTTATATTCTGAACCTTTGAGAAACAAGAAATACACGTTAGTTTTAAGTTTTCAAACCGATACTATAATTGAAGGAAGATACAAGTATCTAGAATGTACAGCTGAAATTAGAAGAAAATCTGACAATGTATACAGAATTGGTATACATACTACTGGTAATGGTATACATGCATACACTTTGTGTATACATACCGTTTATGAGGGTCACAAAGGTATTCGAATGCGTCGAGTTCAGAAATGTAAACATCGTACCTAATGTTGACAACAGATTTTATGTAGTCGGTGCTAAGACATCGTTTGAGTACTACAGAGTCAGTGAAAATAATAATTGTATAGTACTTTCGGCAAATGTTAATTGTGAGTGGGACAAAATCAGAAACTAACAAGTTTGAGCGTGAACTGACACTAAAAATACATCAAGGAAAATCGTATAAAGAAATCGCGGACCATCATGGAAAACTGAAGAAAACATCACAAATAAAGGTCGTACAGGACGTCCAAAAAAGTTAATGTCTAGGGAAGAAAAGATCATTGTGCGAGAAATAAAAAAAATACATGCGTTTCTGCACCAAACTTGCAGGAATGGTGACTAACATGTTCGGAAAGGATGTGCATCCGGAACTCTGTCGCAGAGTTTTACAAAAAAAAACGGATTTAATGGCAGAGTACTACGGAAAAAGCCGTATATAAGTAGTAGTAGTAAGTAGACAGAAAAGCTACATTAGCTTTGCAAAAAGCTACATTGACAAAGATATTTCGTTGTGGGATAAAATAATATTTTCGGACGAAAGTAAATTCAACATTTTCAGATCAGACGGACAGCATTACGTATGGAGAAAGCCCAATAGACAACTAGATACTCAAAATATAATCCCAACCGTGAAACACGGAGGCGGCTACGTTATGTTATAGGGGTGTATGTCAGCGAGTGGCACTGGAAACCTGGATTTTATTGACGGAATTTTAGACTAACATAAATATCTCAATATTTAAACAAATAATCTTAAAGAAAGTACAATCGAACTGAGTTTCTTGGAAGATTTTTACTTTCAACAAGAAAACGACCCGCAGCACACCACTCGGGTTATACAGGAATGGATATTATATAACACCCTTATGCACTAGACACTCCTCCACAGAGCCCAGATATTAATCCCATAGAGAACCTATGGGTTGAAATTGGGAGAAAGCTAAAATAATTACGAAATATGGTCAAAGGAAACATTAAGAAATTAACTAATGGAAATATGGAATATTATTGATAAAAATACAATGAAAAATTTAGTACACAGTATGGAACGTCGACTTAACTGTGTAATTGCTGCTAAAGGTGGTCCAACTGAATATTAAAATGAAATTATACAAAAATAATGCAAACGTTCGAATATTTTTGTGACCCTCATAAACGGTATGTATACACAAAGTATTGTACCAATTCTGTGTACATTGCCAGATTTTCTTCTAATTTCGCGTGTACATTCTCATGACTTGTATCTTATTTTAATTATAGTATCAGTTTGAAAACATAAAACTAACGCGTGTTTCTTGTTTGTTAAAGGTTTAGAATATAAGCGTACGAATACTTTCGTGAGCAACTGTATAAGACGGTGATTCGTGTAGTGTACGAAGATCTTATTAGAAGTGATGATTCATTAACAACATGATACAGACGTGTAAAGAAGGAAGCACAAATTTTGTCGACTTCACTGTAAACGAATGTAGACTCTTGAATGTTGCTCTTCAAAAATGTGACGACCAACATTTTCGATAGGAATAATGGTATTAAAATTCTGTTAAAACATCATCAGTACTCACCTCTCGTATTTTACTTGCATAGAATGTGCAGAGTTGTCTTCCCAAAAATTCTGTGTGTCCATCATCTTGTCGCATAGAATATCACTTCTAACGCGCGGCACGATCACTTCCGATTTTCGGTAGTTACCTTCCCCTTTTCCTTTTCTTACGCCGTAAACTTAAGATGAAAATTGGAGAACTTTCTTTTTTTAATTCACGGTTGAAACACGCACATCAAAACTCGGTTGTCTTGTTGTATATCTGAGCGGAAAACTTATGGACGCACAGATAATATTTCCACTGATCGCGAGATAACGCGTGCATAACCAGCGCATCGAAAATAAAAGAGTCGGGTCCTCTTTCAAACTAATGGCTCCTTGATCGATAGTGCGCACTCGATGAATAGGTTAGGTTCGCCTCCGCATACTCACTGACACACTCGTAACGACACGACGAGCCAGGAGGCCGGTACTTGGGAATCGCCCACGTCTTTCCGTCCAGTCACACTCGCCGATATATCTGTGCTGGCGCCCTCTTCTTTTCTTTTTCGTCTTCGTCTCTGTTTCCCAATTACTTTTTTTAGAATCGTCAATCGTCGATCGATTCGTATTCCTGCAAACGATCGCGTGTTTAATCTCGATTCCACAGACAATTCCTCAAGAAAACTTTTTACTTTAGGAAAAGCGTTATAAGATGAAAAGAATGAAATACAGTTCAATCTTGATACTTAAAACGCTAAGCGCTAAGCGATAAGGCCGTTGACTCGTAAGTACGACCGTGAAATTCCGCGATATATGTACTAACCGGCAGGGACGTGTAAAAATTGAACGGGCCGCGCGCATTCACTCGCGCATCATTGTATCGGTTACCTACAGTTACGTATATGTATATCTATGGGTGAGCCTGCATGCACTTTGTTAATTTTAAGCGACAATATTTAGCGACGCTCAGGATATATTCTGGACCAATGATTGTATTAAGAACACGAATGCCTAATCAATTACACGCACGCCCTTCCTCTCTTCCTTTTTCTATATTTTCAACCGACAATCTCAAACGAGATCGTAGGTGGAATTCCAATTGATAAAAATAAAGTGGATAGCTCAAACAGTTTGTACTACGGCGTGTACAAGCGTTCGTCGTTTCCTTGGCGGGTTACACTACGCGTATAATGCGCGCGACCCTGTTTGATTCTCGCGATGGGCCACGGTGTGGCATGGAGACCACTGGTGGGAGCGATCCAGAGCCGTCTCAGGCACGAACCATCGATTCTGGAGCCATGTAACTCAAGACCAACCATAACGATTGATATCTCGTTGGCTTGTTATTCAATACAATCATTCAAGTAGAATTATCAAAGCTATATTTTCATCCTTATCGCCCAACTAACCTCGATGACCTTATTGAAATTGCGCTATCATTATGATAGATAGTAATTGAATGACCGTTACGTAGTTTGATTTTTGTCTTAATCTATAATATCTTTGAGAGACGGTAACATACATGCAAGTGTATTCCCGTTAGCTTTGCGAAATTTGATAAGACGTGTTGTTCTCGGTGCATCACGTGTCGATAATATTACGTATAGATCGGTATAGCAATCTTGAAATACCTCCGGCGATACGTGTGTATATTGTATAAGAACAAAAACAAAGAATACTAATCTTTATCTGAATATTGGTATTCTTTTGTTTCGAACACGATTCGAGATGTGTTTCTCACCAACTTTTCCTTCTATCGATCCGTTATTTTACAAGTAATATGTTATTTAACTCGTAATACGTAAATATTGCTTATTGTTCGAGTGACAATGTTAAACAAAAATAATGTGCCGATTATTTATCGTTTCACTCAGAAATTTAAATCATGTATTGGCGAAGATAATTACGCGACAAGTTGACGGCACCATGTGTATACTGTCACTCATTCATTAGTGTAAACAAACGCGTGTTCGTAATACTCACAATCTAAACGTACGTATAGTATATGTATCAAGAATGTCATGAATTCAAAGACCCATGATTTCGCAGTGGAGAAGGTAACATTGTTTACCTCAACGACTACAACACAGATATAATTCTATATTTTCGAAATTATCGAATGCAATACCAGAGTTACGATACTCGGCATCGGAGCACAGAGTTAATGAAATTTCGTGAGCGGACGTTTTCACCCTTCCATTTTTCTGATGTCTCCTCGATACAATTCAACGATGCCCAAAGTGAGTTCAACCATTTTTCTTTTTTCCTCGACGAGGAATACCACTGTGTCATGTAACGATTGCGCGTGATGATGCAAATCCGGTTGTCGCGACGCGAGACACACAACGACTAGCAGCGTGGCGAGGGTGACGCGCAGGAGGGAAGAAATGGTGACTTTCCAGGTGAAAGTTTAGCACGAAGGGGGTGAAATGGGGACTTGAGACGTTACTGACCAGGACTTGGAGTGGTGAACATGTGGAGGGGTAGGTACGGAAGGTGTGGAACGTTCGCCGGGACGCGGAGCTCCGGGAGGAGAGGAACGAGCGGTTACCACGCTATGTGACACGTGCGCGTGACGTCACGGGGCCGGTCACGCGAGCACCGTGTGCTCCCGGTCACGTGTCCTGTCACGCGCTCGCTCTATCCCTCCCTTCCCCTGTATCTTGTCGTGCCGTAGCAGCGACTGCATCCCTCCTTTCGAGACCACCGCAACGACCGTCTCTCTTTCTACCTTTTATTTTTCTCTCCTTTTTCCTCGTTCGTTCGCGATCACGGCCTACGTACTACGTACCGCGACTTCTCTTTATACTCCTTCAGCTATATCCAAACGGCGTACATACGGTCGCAGACACGGCGAGTATTCCGGCTTCATCGCAACATAGGGCAGGGGGGGGGGGGACACACAAGAATGATAGCCCCTCTCGCGTACGTTGCAACGACGTGTTTATAACTGCGCGCGACGGCAATGCGTCCTGCGCGCGGATCATTCGCATACCTATTTGTATATGTATACGCTATAGCCGGGACGTGGTGTATTTTCATCAAGGCATTGAATTTTAAGGTGGTTCGTACCAAATTCGATAGACTAGATAACTAAATAAAGTTCATACAGATTGTTTATTGGAACGAAATACACACACAAAAAAAGTTTGAGACTTGGTGACCGATCAAATAAATAAGAAAAAAAAGCTTGTCAAAAGTTGAGTTTTCAACACAGCTCTTCTGGCAGTTTTACGATTTCTTACCGAAAGTATAATCTTTTCTATTCACAAAAATTAGAATTGCGGACTAAAAACTAGGTACTGAAAGTATAAATCCTGGGCTTTCTGATAATGAACTAAATCTTGTACCATACCGGATATTCCAGGAAGATATTTGACAATAATGTCTAGGATATGTATGTAGGTTATTGGATGGTTATTGGGACTATGTGGAAGAGTTGGCAACGTTGCTGAACTGGGGTCATACCCGCCAAATACAAATACATTTAAAAAAATATTTTAGTTGTTTTGTGTTTTAGTGAATTTTAATTTTTTAAATTATAATGCACGCGAATATAATTAAAACCAGGAACGAGTACAGTGGACTCATACGACTAACAAAAATATATTTTTTATTTACAATATACTGATGAATGATCAATGGAAATGTCGTTGAATTTCATAGATGTAATTTTTATGCATCATTAAAGTGTATTAGTGGTTGTTTAATACCAATTATTAATATGAAGCTTTATTGGCTACAGTTAGAGAGTCAAGTACGAACCACCTTAATTGTTCAGCATCAGAATCAGCGATATTTCTTCCAACGAATGCCGGTGCTAGCTAGCGCCATGGGAATTGAGTTATTAGAAGGTGCTTATTGAAACCTTAACCTTTTCATTTATTTACTATGCACCCACGGTAGAATATTAGGTGGTGCGTTTTGTTAAGTATCACTTGTTGTTTTCAATGAAAATTATCAGAAGATTGAACTTTTAAGAGATTCGAAATTATTGGTTTATGTATGGTTACGGAATATAGCGTTGGATCTGTTATCGGTGCAGCGATTTGAAATGTGCACCACTTTACCGGCTTTAGTCGTTTTAAATAATACATATAGCAGTCACGATTAATGAAGAGTCAATCTTTACGAAATAGGTCATTGTACGACTGCATCGTGGATGATGATAAACTGTGGAGTAGTGTGGAGGAGTAAAAAAAGAAAAATGACGACAGTGGACTTACACAAGTACAAATTTAACCTTTGTCGTGACGCCGCTTTAGATGACACAGTTTTCTAGTTTTCTAGTTTTTTAGGACACCTGTGTAATTTAAATTTCGTTGCAGTTACGCACCATTGGACACCACGCGACCGATTACGTTCAAAGGCTGATTAGTGATTATGCGTTTGACATAAAACAGAGAAATTATAGCAGACGCACAACGGACTAGAAAGTACATATAAGCGACTGTGATTATGTAAACGCTGGGTTGTCAGCAGACAACTAATTCTGCGACGAAGTTACAGTTAAATGTATGAATAGTCAATATCCGTATGGAATACATAAATATTTCTAAGAACGTTATTTAATCCTGTTATTCTAAAAATACGATAATAAAAAACTGTCAATAAATTATAAATTATAAATTATAATACCACAACGTATTTCCAGATTCAATAACATTTTGTACTTTAGTAAAATTAGACTACTTTTATTTGTTAGTATAATTTATCATTTTGATTACACTCCTTATTTAAATTGAGAATAAAGATTGTACCGATACTATGTACATACATATATCGCTTCACCGTAAAATAGATCCTACATTCCAAAAATATACAATGCTGTATAAGAAATATTCATCATATAAAACTAAGAATAGCATCCGAAATACTGAAATAAAATGTTATGTTAAGCATAAATCGATTTCTGAATCTCCAGGATAAAACAGAAAAAAAGACATTAATAATAAATAACTTACAAAATGTTGACGTTAATTTATGGTATTTTAATATAAAAAAATTGATATAATTGCGATCAGGTATACAAAAGAAACATTCAGTGAAAACTTTTACAAAAAATCAATGACACGGGACAGTGACGGGAAAGTATTATTTGCTACTAAGGAGTCACAATGTATATGTATACATATTCTGTTCCGAGTGTTTCACGTTACCGAGAAAGTGAATTTTTGGCTTCTGTCCGCTTTAAAGTGGCTGCGAACTTGTATGCGCGGAGTACGCGCGTAACGCGACC